TCTGTGAATAATTGATTTCTGAACTCTTATCTTTTAAGTGATTTTAAATTAATTTCATTTCCAGGAGAACGATTGAGCTGGCTATTAAAATTCAGTGTCCCCAACCTTAGGGAATTTTTCCAGAGAAACAGCTTACGTTCATGCTTAAGCAACTTCGTAGCCTCTCATCCTGAAGAGTCTGAAGTCTGAGACTCAGAAAACCGAGGCCCCTGGCCGATAACCTGACCTTAAAGCATGTGAGCCGCTCTGCCAGCCCGCTTGGGCGGGTGTCCGTCTCCCATATGTTGGTTCCTGTGTCTCCGTGAACTGGTGTGCACAGTCCTTGGGGTTGCTCGCCCCTCTGTCCCTCCTGGGCTCTGGCCCGGGAGCAGAACCCGGGAACCACAACCGACAAAGCAAGGAGGGTCTCACTCTCGCTCCAGGCCCACCCGTGGCTCCCACGCAAGGATCCTAGCACCTGGGCCAGAAAGCACGCCTTGGCTCTAAGCCAGCGCGGGCTTCTTGACACCCCTGCGAGCTTCCATGCGTGGACCTTCCCAGGTGGGTGCCCTCGGGAACGGGCTGGGCCTGTGGAGCAGGCACCCATTTGCTGGCCCAGCTGGCCGCAAGCACCGGCCCACGGGATGGCACCCCATACCCAGGTGCAGGCACAGAGATGGCACGGAGGATGCACTTTCTGGCAAGGGTGGTCGCGGTCTCTGCCCCACGTGCTGCTTGACCCATGGAGAGGACATGGCCAGGAACAAGGACAGAAAAGGGCAAAAGGTGTGCTGAGTGGTGCTGGACCAGAAGCCCTGGGCAGAGATTTCACCCACTAATGCAGGGGGCCAAAGATGGCCATCTGTCCCAGTCCTAACAGATTCCACCACTCTGGCACATCGCCCAAGATAGCTGTCTGTCTTCACCCTAGCAGCTACATAAGGCCGCCACCTCCTTCCTTTCCCTTCTGCCTGTCCCTCCTCCCCCTCCCTTTGAGAAAGTGGCATGGGGACAGAATGAAAGGTCTGGAGTGCAAGCCAGCCACGTCTCCGCCAGTCAAGGCTCCTTGGAGGAGTGGCTGGTTAGATGGGGCAGGAGACGGTCAGGCTGGGTCTGTGCCATCTCGTGCCAGGAAGAAGCGGAGCTGTCAGAACAAATGGGTCCATCGAGAGGACACAGGAGTCAACAAGAAAGACTCGCCGTGGCCAGAGAGGAGAGCATCTGAGCACCCAAAGGCATCGTGATGCCGTTGCTTGAAACGCCGTGAACACAGAAAAGCCCGCAGGCCCACATGGACACGACACTGAACAAGAGTCCCCGACCCACACGCCGAAGCTCTCTGGGCCACGGCTGGGCATTCAGTGCACTGATTCCCTGCCCAGGATGGGAAGGAAGGAAGCAACACCCCCTCTGCCCTTCTCATAGAAGCCGCGTTTCAGAGAATCCAGACAGCACTCCTGGGAAAGGGGTTCTCCTTCACAAAATCACTTGATAGAAGGTATTGATGGGCTTAGAAGAAGACCATCGCTGTGCGGCCCCTGATGAAGTTATTGACTCAGACGATAGCCGTCAAAGGAGGAAACAGAGTCATTTTAGCGTGGAGCAATTGGGCCATCACCACCGGGCCCTCCCTGAGGGGACAGCCGGACCCCGAGTGAGGGGATGTGGTTGCCGATAGGTCCCAGCCTGGAGGGAGTCCCGCCCCGCCCACAGAGCCGCCCTGACTCCAGCCAGCCTCCAGAGTCCACGTCCACATGTGAGCGAAACCGGAGACGGGCCCGGGCTGCAGGGCACAGCCTCGCCTGAGTTCGTCACACGAGGGGGAGAGGGCGGGCAACCCTCGGCAGGGGGTGACCTAAGAGGCTCACTTGGGTGTGGAGTGTGGGCCTTGCTGAGACCCCAGGGGACACGAGCTTCAGAAAACCGTTTTAGACAGTTGGGGGAATTCGGACCGGGTGTCGGTGGGTCTCGAGGAATCAGTTTAGTTTTCCAGTGGATCAATGAAGTTGAGGTCAGGAGAGAAAGTGACATGGGTTCCCAGAAAGGCTGACTGGGTGCATGGAGCGCTGGCACGTGCCCTAAGATCCCCGCGGAGGCCGGGCTCGGTGGCTCAGCCTGTCGTCCCAGCACTTTGGGAGGCCGAGGCGAGAGGATTGCCTGAGCCCGCGGATTCAAGACCCGCCCAGGCAACTTGGCGAGACCTCGCCTCTACAATAAATCAAAAACTAGCCGGGCGTGGTAGCGCATACCTGTAGTTTCAGCTACTTAGAAGGCTGAGGCAGAAGGATCACCGGAGCCCAGCAGGTCGAGGCTGCGGTGACCGGGAGCGTGCCACTGCCTTCCGGCCTGGGCGATGAAGTGAGACTCTGACTCAATAAAAAAGGCCCCCCGGAAAGGAGAAACAGAGGAGGAGGAGGAGGGACTTGCGGATGACAGGAGAGCTGCAGTGGCCGTCGAGCCACGGGGTGCACGCGTGGGTTCCCTGTCGAGCCCCCCTGCCCTTGCATGTGTTGGACGCTGTTGACTAAGCATGGTCTTCCTTCCATCACCACGCTTGCTTTCCTAGGAAAGAGGGCGGAAATCTCCTCTTATGTGGAAGGGCTGCATCCCTCCCTGCTGGGAGAATTCACCAGGCCCGGCGGCAGCACCCGCATGCCCTGAGCTCGGCAGCACAGCCTTGGCGGAGCGGCCTCTGCTGCTTGCTTGAGGACAGGGCAAGGGGCTTCCCCTTTGCACATCCAGTTCCCTGCATGTACAATCTCCCCAGACCACGTGGGGAGAGATTGCCTGTGAAGCGATTCCCGGAGCCCCCGGGAAGTCCTTCCTCCCCTCTACCTTCCCCCTGCACAGAAATCTGGGTCTCAGCCGTAACAGGCGGGGCAGGCCTGGCTGCGTTTCGGCGATGCTCCCCCCGTCACAGCCATGGGTGTGGACACTGGAGCTTCATCCTGCCCGGCCACCCTGCCACAGGCGGCCTTGTTCATTCCCAGGGGTGCAGGGGGATGGCGTGAACCCCAGAATCCAGCCCCCGTAGTTCACAGCAGTTACCTCCCTGTGAAGGCTTCTGGAGGTCCGCATGCCACAGCCGGTTCTCGGCCCCGTGTTGCCGAGACCAGCCCTGTCTAGCCCATAGGACATGAGCCCTGCTACATGGCGGGGCTGCTTCAGGGGCCTGGGTTAGATCTGTGAATGACAAAAAGCCCCCCAAGGAGCTGGGGGCATCCGATGCAAACCTGAGCCTGGGTACCCACCACGCCCTTCCCCCATCTTGAGGAGTTTGCCTGGGGGGGGGCTCTTAGTCACACAGTTTGAATCTGAATCACCCCCCTAGTGCCATTAGTGAGCGTGCCAGGTGGGGGGGCAGTCTTACTAAGCTACACACAGACACATGCATGGGTGAACACAGGCACGAGTGTACACACACGCCCCTTATTTAGGAAAGCAAGCTGACGTCTACGCTTGTGTAACTGAGGCCGCAGAAGTGATCCTCTCGCTGAAGTCAGGCCATTTCTCCAGGCTGAATACAACTTCTTATGTGTTCTCACATCTGTAATCCCAGTGCCTTAGGAGGCCGAGGCGGGAGGATCCCTCGAGCCCAAAATTTGAGTCCCACTCGGACAATATAGTGACCCCTCATCTCTACAAAAAATAAAAAACCCCGGTGTGGTGGTAGTGGGTACCTGTGGTCCTAGCTACTCGGAAGGCCAAGGCAGGAGGATCACTTGAGCCCAAGGAGGTTGAGGCTTCGGTGAGCCATGATCATGCCACAGTACTCCAGCCTGGGTGACAGAGTGAGACCCCAACTCAAAAACCAAATACATTAAATAAAATAAAAGTACAGCCATAATACTGTAAGAAAGGGATTGGCAGTAGTGGGATACTGCTGGTGGGGTGGGGGGACATAACATTAGAAAAGGTACCTGATCTCAGCAAGCAAAGTGGGGACCAAAGGGAGGCCCAGACTTCACCGTGCAATCTCCACTTGTACACCCAGTCCTGAATTGTACCCCATACCTTTAAAATAAAATATATATTATTTTAACAGTATTTTTAAAAGTAAATAAAAGTACAGCTAAAAGGCGATCCCAAATCATTGCGTGAAGTGGGCATCTATTTTGTGGCAGACACCCACAAACCTTGATAAAGCCAGCAGCCCCTCAGAGCGTGAAATGAGCATAGTGTACCAGAGGGGTCACGCGCTCGTGCCGGGCACAGGGAGGGCTCAGGGCCACCACAAACCTTGCGCTGGCCTCCGGAAGGCGGCGCTTCCTCCTTGTTAGCTGTTTCCAGCACCCTGGACGGTGCAGAGCATGGAAGGGACTCGGGAAGCACCCAAGGAACGTGCAAGCAGCTTCTTTCATCCTCAGACTCACAGGGAGGCAGCTGCAGGCATGAGTGTGGGGGGCTGTCTGAGCCGGCGGGCGCCGCCAACCTCGGGTCACCCACGGAGGCCCGCAGCACATGGGTGGGTGGCGTGAGCTGCTGAGCCAAACCCTGGACGGGCGTGGGAGGAGTGAGCCAAGCCAGGCCCCAGGGCACGGTGTTTGTTGCAGGAACGGGCTCAGGTCTTTAAAGGGGGCTTTGGACGGGCAGGGTGGGGTGACAAGACAAACGCAGTGACGGACTTCAGGTGCTTGGAGGGAAGGGTCCCTCAGCCGAGAGCGCCGGGCGGGCATGGGGTGGGGGGAAGCGGCTGGCTCCTGCCTCCACCTCTAGCCGCTGTTGCAGGCTGCCCTGGCGGCTCCTCCTGCCGGGCAGCCCAGGGAGACAGCAGAAACCCGCCGTCAGGGACGTTCTCTCCTGGGTAGCCGCGAGAGGGGGAGACGGAGTCCGAGGGAAGGGGGGCCGGGCCAGGGCTGCTCCTTCTCTTTCAGGTCTGCATGGGATGGGAGGACTCTTGAGTGGGGAGGCAGCCACAGAGGCGGGGGTCTGTCCTCTGCTGACAAGAGCGGGCAGATGGCCCGAGAGACTTCAAGAGCCGCCAGCCCAGCGGTGTCCCTCCCCATGTCCTCTCCCTGCAGGTGACCCTGTACAAGGACTCCGACGTGGAGGACTTTGGGTTCAGCGTGGCAGATGGCTTGCTGGAGAAAGGTGTGTATGTTAAAAACATCCGCCCCGCCGGCCCAGGGGACCTCGGCGGCCTGAAGCCCTACGACAGGCTCCTGCAGGTAAGACCTCGGTGGAATTTCGATTCCTCGCGCTCAATAGGGAGCTTCCTCCAGATCATCCCGGCACTGGGGGCCCGCTGCTCTTTGCCCCTCAGACCGTGTGGAAGGATTATGGAATTAGGAGTCGTGACCCACTGAATAAAAAATGTGTGAGCCCAGCCCATAATCTCAGCACTTTGGGAGGCCAAGGAGGGAGGATTGCTTGAGCCCAGGAGGTCGAGACCAGTCTGGGCAGCATAGCGAGACCTTGTCTCTACAAAAAAAATTTTTTTTTAATTAGCCAGGCATGGTGGTGGACATCTGTAGTCCCAGTTATTCAGGAGGCTGGAGTGGGAGGATTGCCTGAGCCCAGGAGGTTGAGGCTGCAGCGAGCTGTGATTGTGCCAAGGCCCTCTAGCCTGGGTGATAGCTTGATACCCTGACTCAGAAAAAAAAAAAAAGAATGTGCCGCTATCGTAGATTCTGTTTCAGCCCCAGACATCTCTGGTTTCTTAAAAGCTTTTTGGCACCGAGCACAAACCTGTCTTTCCCAATCTAATGCTCACTTCTCCGACCCCACCCAACCAAGGGCCATCTTCCCACGATCAGGCAGTAATCACATCAGCAGGACGTAGTCCAGCCTGGGCAACATAGTGAGACCCCATCTCTACCCAAAAAAAGCAAATTAACCGGGCATGGTGGCGCATGCCTGTAGTCCAGCTATTTGGGAGGCTGAGGTGGGAGGATTGCCTGAGCCCAGGAGTTGGAGGCGGCAGTGAGCTGTGATATGCCACTGCACTCCAGCCTGGGCGACAGGGTGAGACCAGGCTAGAGCTCCCCATGGCGCTTCCTCAGCATGGCCTGCGATGCCCTCTCTCCATGCACGCCCTAGTGCCACAGGACTTGTTCTGGGAGGGGCACATCCCGGCCTTCCTGGCGTCCTGGCGGGTGCTGCCCTGTCCTCCCAGTGGCTCTTGCTTTATCTTTTTTGAGCTGTAGTCTCACTCCTTCGCCCAGACTGGAGTGCAGGGGCACGTTCCCGGTCACCCCAGTGTTGACCTGCTGGCTTCGACGAGCCTTCCGCCTCAGCCTTTGAAGTAGCCGGAACCACAGGTGCATGCTACCATGCCCGGCTAATTTTTATTTTATTGTAGAGACGCAGTCTCACCAAGTTGCCCGGGCGGGTCTTGAACCTGTGGGCTCAGGCAATCCAGTTGCCTCGGCCTCCCAAAGTGCTGGGATGACAGGCTGAGCCACCGAGCCTGGCCGCTCTTGCATTTCTTGGCACACCTAGGGCCTTGGCCCTGCTGCCCGAGCTCACAAGGTCCCTACCTGCCGCCCACACCCACCCTCATCCTTCTGGTCCCTGCTTATCTGTGTGGTCACTCGCTCTGTCTAAGGGGCCCTCCCGCCCCCCCAGCCCTTCCCATGATCCCCTGCTCACAGGATGGCCAGATGCATTCTAGTCGTTACTCTGTCTTGTCCCCAGAGTGCCACTCGGTGAGGGCAGGGGTCCAGCTCACCCCGGTAGGCCCCGTCCCACAAGCAATGCCCGTAACCCGGTGCTCAGTGCTGTCGGCTTGAACCTTGCAAGAGACTCTTTTCCTCTGGGCCACTCTTCCGCTCCCCAGTCCTGCCTAACCCACTCAGCCTCTGGGCTCCCAGGGGTCGGTGGTCCTCAGCCTTGACCGAAAAGTGGAATCACCTGGAGAGTTTCCGGCACTCCCAGGCCCACTGAAGCAGCCTTTCTCGGGTGAGGCAGGGAACAGCGTGCTGTTAACGCTCCCCAGCACTGAGCTGCAAGTACCGGCGTACAGGGCTCCACGTCTCGCTTGCCCAGCGCCCACGCAGCCTCCTGCCCCGCCCACACGGGGCGGAAGCTCGCTGCTTTGGAGCTGCCATCACTCAAGCCGCCCTTTCCCTGCACGGACCCTGCGGACTGTGAACGTCTCGAGAGCGAGGCCAGGGCCGTCCTCTCTCGCCCCCCTTGGACGGCGCCGGCATCTCCACCCCTCGCACAGTGTCTGAAGCCAAAAGGCCGGATGGCTCTTACACAGCGCATGCCACTGGGGCAGGGTCACGTCGTTTTCTCGTAGTTTTTAGGGAGGGTGTTTTGCAGGAAAAGGAGGAGCTGTCATCTGTGTTAGACGCGATCTCTGCTGGGAAGAGTCTGTCCCATACAGCTGCCTTCCAGAGCAGGAAGCAGCCACTGACGGGCTGGCTTCCAGAGCTGTGTCCCCTGAAGCAGGTTGTCTTTGAGCAATTCGGTCGTTTTAAAGCCGGTGCTGGTGGTTATGCTTCCCATGGCGACAGAACCATTGGTCTCGTTCTGGAGTATGTGGTCACTCTTTTTTTTTTGAGTCAGATACTCTGTCACCAAGGCTGGAGGGCAGTGGCACACTCACGGCCACTGCAGCCTTGACCTGCTGGGCTCAGGTGATCCTTCTGCTCAGCCTTCCAAGTAGCTGCAACTACAGGCAGGCACCACTACACCCAGGTAATTTTTGATTGATTGGAGAGATGAGGTCTCACCAAGTTGCCCAGGCTGGTTTGGAACCTGTGGGCTCTGGCCGTCCTCTCACCTCAGCCTTCCAAACTGCTGGGATTATAGGCATGAGCCATGCTTTGCCATAGATGCTCCACTATTTGCTGAATGAATCACTGTGGACGAGTCTCCTAACCTCTGCGAGTGTCCTAACCCACACCTCAGAGCTAACCCTGCTTTCTTGGAAGCTGAGTCTGAGCAAGTGGACGACATTCAGATTGCCGAGGGCCTTGAATGCCGCGATAAAGCTCTCGGCCTCCATGCCGGAGGCATGTTAGTTTCCCAAGCGGAACAACGACGACGCCATTTGCAACTTGGAAAGGCAGTCCGATGTCAGCATGGGTGGATTGGAGGCGGGATGGGGGAGGAGGGGAAGCTCAGAGATGGGATCCGGGGGGGTGGGTGAGACGCCTGCTCTCTAAGGGGTCAGATGTTCCCGGCACACCCTGACCGGGCTGTGTGGAGGCCTGACAGTCAGGAGTCACGTCCAAGCCAGAGCAGAAGATTCAGGTTGACACGGGCTTGGAGCTAGCTGACCTTGGTGGGCTGGTGGGCTTATGCTGCCGAAGAGCGGAGGGCCGAGGAGCGAGTCTAACGGTCGCAGAGTGTGCAGCCCAGGAGAGGGCAGAAAGCGAGGCCATGGGGCAGGGGGTCAACACGGACAATGTTGCGGGCACGCAGGGAGGAGCGCCCTTGAAAGAGGACACGCCAGAGGCCGAGGAGGCCGAGGGCTGGAGACACTCCTGGTCGGACCCGTGGGTTCGCCTGCCAGTGGGGCAGTCGTGTCAGGGCCAGGGCCGGGGTGGAGGAGGGCGTGGGGTGGAGCGAAAGCTCCTGCGGGGTGGGGTGTGAGCGACAAGCCCAGGTGAGCTCGGGGACCGCACACGCTTAGCAGCCCTTGGGCTTCATGGCTCAGAGCCAACTTGGAGCCAGCCAGATGCCCGAGTGCTGGTCTACGGCAAAGGGCTCGAGCTCTCCAGGCCGCGCTGCCCTCCTCTGGGACCCGGGGATGATATCCAGCACTCGGAGGCCCCCACGGGGGAGGCGGCCTGCTTGGCTTGAGGCGGGAGGACGGGCTTCCTCCTGGCCCGAGAGTCTCCCACTTAGGAGTCAAGAATGGCGGTGAGTTGGGCCACGCTGTTGGGCGGTGAGCACCCAAGACCCCAGCTCGTCGCTCCCGAAATGCGCCTCGGGTGTTGGGGAGGATGGTGACGGCGGCAATTGAGGGTGGCCCTGCTTGGCGTTCAGGTCAACCACGTGCGGACGCGAGACTTCGACTGCTGCCTGGTCGTGCCTCTGATTGCCGAGTCGGGGAACAAGCTGGACCTGGTGATCAGCAGGAACCCGCTGGCGTCACAGAAGGCCCTGGAGCAGCAGACCCCTCCCGGGGGCGACTGGGGTGACCCCAACAGCGCTTTCTTCCAGCAGCCCAGCCACGGCGGCAGCCTGGAGGCGCGGGAGCCCACCAACACGTTATAGCATCGCCTCCCACGCAGCGGGACCAGAGACGCTGTCCATATGGTGCTACTCACCCCCGGGACGCCTGTGATGTCAGAAGCACAGAGGGCCGCGTGGCGTTCACGGCGGCACAGGGGTCCTCGCATCCGGCCATGGCTCATGTTCACGCCCACCCCACTCCCCCACCTTCGAGTCGAACAGGTTTCTCTCCCGGTGCCCACCCTGCGTGCAGCCGCCGAAGTCCCGCCAGGCCCCCAGGTGGAGAAAGAGGTCGGCCAACCCGCCCTGCCCGCCGCCCCAGGACGTTTTTTACGAGCTCATCTCACTGTCACTTTTTACAAAGAGAAATGTCTGTTTGCAAATATTCTGATAATTCCTTCACTCACTTTGAAGTCGGGTTCTCACTCTGAAGTCCCTGGCGTGAGAACTCCACCAGTGGCTTTCTGTGAGCTGGCTTTGCTAGGGAACGAGGGTCGGGGGGGCACGGGGACTGCCACAGCGGGAGGGGTACAGGTTAGAACCGAGTTATCTTAATCTTAGACTGTTTCGGCAATGATGCACGTAGGCCACCGCAGGTGGTGGCCGATGTTTTGCCCACGTATAGGAATGATTTTAACTAAGATGTATGATACGCCCTATGCAACAAATGATCAAACAGGATATGTCTTGTGACCTGTTTTGTTTTTTAAGGACACATTTTAATAGCTGAAAATCTCAGATAATGAATTAGAGTGTGTAGTAACACTGGGAATTAGCTCTATTATCTTATTTTTAAAATCAAAGACTAAGCACTTAAGAATGAAGAGTCTATTAAAACGAGGCTCACCTTACTGACAGGTAAACCCAACTCAGACTGCTTGACGGGTTTTGGAACCTGGTACCACCGAGGGTGTGCAGCACCCTCCTGGAAGATGACACTGGACTGTTCTGTTCTGAGCCATGCCACCGACCGAAACTGTAAATACATTTTTCACAAATGCGTTGCCAATGACGACCACCCTCAAAGCAATAAATTGTGGCAGTTGCTTTCAATGTTTGCCAGCAACTGTATTCCTTTGTTCAGATACTTTGAATAGCTACACTAATTACTGTTATTTGGTGACTATAAAAATTAGATCTGTATATTGATGGTAGAATCTCCATACTGGAACAATGATTTTCCAAACACGTTTGTTTTGGTCAGTGACTCAAACCACCACTTAGGCAAAGCATTTCAACACTGTGTCCTTTGTTTAAGGAAAAAGTTCACTTTTCTTTTTGTGCAAAGAACTATATTTCATCACATTTCAGAACCGCCAGGGCAAGAAAGTATAAAGCAGAATCATGTTAAGAAAAAGACGAAAAAAAAAGCGATCATGAGTCTCTTAAATATGTATTTTTATTTGTAACAAACAAGTATTAAACTGTAAAGTATTTTTGTACAAATTTAATACTTTAATAGCATGGTATTTATCGTCTATGTATGGTTTTGGGAAACTCAAAATTGTTGCAAATATTTGTATGGAAAAAAAAAAACCTCTACCACATGGAATAAACAGTGATTTTAAAAAGCCAAACACACATGACATTCATTTTTGGTGTTTTGAATATATTTCAGTGTTCTCGCCTGAATCCTACACAGTGTTTATTTGCACATAATTTTCTAAAGGGGGATATCTTTGCCATAAGCCTCACAGGAGATGGGAGGACCACAGATTTTGAACTTGGACCCAGATCGGATTCCCACTCAGACACTCACCGGGGTGCACTTTCTCACCAGGAGGCAGCATCTCCACCTGATTGAGGTCAGGTCTACACCTCAGGACTGCTCTGGGGACTGGGGCAAAATGTCCGAGACAGGACTAAAAACCCCTGCACTCAGGAACACCGTCAGACCACGGTACATTTGCCACGAGGATCAGGATCCCAACGCCCGTCCTCAGAGAACATCATGTGCTCCGTGACACACATTTACATAAACTGTTAAAATGTGCACACTCAGCCTGTCATCCCAGCACTTCGGGAGGCGGAGGTGGAGAGGATTGCCTGAGCTCAGTGGTTTGAGACCAGCCTAGGCAACGTGGCAAGACTTCGTCTCTACAATAAATATTAAAAAAAAAAAAAAAAAATTAGCTGGGCACGGTGGCATGTGCCTATAGTTCCAGCTACTTGGAGAGTTGAGGCAGAAGGATCACCTGAGCCCAGCAGGTCGAAACTGCGGTGGCCTTGAGCGTGCCACAACATTCTAGCCTAGGCGATACTCAGACTCAAAAAAAAAAAGCACACTTTAATGTCACATTTGTAGGGGGTGCCCTGCAGGCCTCATAAATTCACATTCATCTCAGTGCACCCAGGGTCATGTGCCGGAAGACAGGGTGTTTTCCAGCACGTGGGAGTGACACACATTTCTGTTGTACCGTCTGGATACAAAGCGTGGCCCAACTTGATACAAGTAAGGCTGAGGTCAGTGAAGTGTGTGGTCAGAGCCAGTTTTGTGAAAAAAGGCAAATGTGGCTATCTTAGCTGTGGTCAAAACAGAATGAACCAACAGTGGAAAATGGCTTTTTAAAACAAAACAAAAGGTCTCATGATTTTCAGATGGAGTGACCAGGCCACAGGAGGCGTTCCCCTTTGCTGAGGCCAGTCGGCAAGTGTTGAGCACCATTCCTCTAGAAAGGGTAGTGATAAGCAGAACCGAGAGGGTTGGGGCTGTGCCAGCAGAAAGTGGGCAGAGGGAGCTGGAGGGGGAAGCAGGCGGGGCAGGAGAGACAAGGCCGTGCTTGTACCACCGGGTCAGTCGGGACCAGCAGACAGAAGTCCCGATGAAGCAGATTTCAGCCTCATGCAAGGAAGTGCTTTCCAACACTTGTGCTCAGTGGCAGTAAGACCGTCAGCACTGAAGTGTGTCCCCCACCGTGGCTGGTGGCATCCAGCAAATGGGACGCTGAGGCAGAGGACCCTTGCAAGGCTAACAGGCTGCAATTCAATGCCAGTTGTTTCAAGTCCAAATCATGGGCTCTTTGAGTGAAACCGTAGACAATTTTGAATGGGGTAAGTTATTTGCATTTTGGCCAATAGTACAGTCATAATATAAAAGCTAACACTTTGGAATAGTCAGTTACATAATATTAGCTTCATTGCATTTTAGGGGGATAAAAGGCTATTTTCAAGTTCTTCTTGACTGTGTTAAACTTTACCTGGACCCTGAGCTCCGGCATACATCCAGGGTTAAAGACATACTTTTCTGCAAGGCTGGGAGCAGACCCCTGCCCACCAACTTAGACAAGACTCCAAGAAGCCTTCCCCTTGTTTTCCTTTAACAAAATCAGACACAGACCGCCCGGCAAATTCCTGTTCTCTGCTTCATAAATGATTAGCTGAACTGTGTGTACCTACTGATCGTCCCGATAAAACGTTAAGCTTCTTTTCACCAGGACCCTGACCCTTGGCCAGCCCTCAACGAGAGCCACAATACAGCCCCTCCTTAACAGCCCCTCCTTCCCAGGGATAGCAAGGGTAAGAACTCAAATGAGTGAAACAGATAACAGAAAATGAGAAAAATCAATGAAACCAAAAGTTGGTCCTGCAAAAAGATTAACACGAATTCACCAGCTTTTAACTAGATGAAACATAAAACAGAGAGGCTCAAATTACTAAAATTAGAACAAAGGGGAACTTTACTACTAATCTTACAGAAATAAAAAGGGTCAAAAAGAAATACCATGATCAACTGCATGCCAGCAAGTTAAACAATATAGACGAAATGAGAAAATCCTAGAAAACAAACTATCAGAATTGACTCAAGAAGGAAACAGAAAGTCGACATAGACCTATAACAAGTAAAGAGATCTAATTAATAATTTTAAAACCACACACACACACACAAAAGTCCAAGCCTAGATGGCTTCATCGGTGAATCCTACCAAACATTTAAAGAAGAATTCGTACCAAACCTTCATAAATGCTTCCAAAATAGAAGAGGAAGAGACATTTCTCAACTCATTCTATGTGGTCACTATTACCCTGACACCGATACCAGACAAAGACATCACAAGATAAAGAAATGACAGACTGAAATCTCCTATGGACATATAAAAAAATTCCCCCCAAAAGTAACCAAATCCAGCAAAATATAAGAAGGATTATACACAAAGACCAAGTAGAATTTATTCCAGGAATGCAACGTTGGCTTAACATCCAAAAATCAATGTAATATATAAGTACAATAAAGGACAAAACTACATGATCATCTCAATAGGTAGAAAAAGCATTTGACAAAATTCAATATCCCTTCATGATAAAAATATACAACAAACCAGGAACAAAAGGGAACTTCCTGGCCAAGTGCAGTGGCTCATGCTGGTAATCCCAGCACTTTGGGAGGTAGAGGCAGGAGGTTTGCAATATAGCGAGACCCTGTGTCTACAAAAAATTAAAAATTAGGCGAGCATGGTAGCATGTGCCTGTAGTCCCAGCTGCTCAGAAGGTTGACGTGGGAGGATCACTTGAACCTAGGAGCTTGAAGTTGCAATGAGCTGTGATTGTGCCCCTGTACTCCAGTCTGGGTGACAAAGCAAGAACCCATTTCAAAAAATAAAAAACAAAATTTTAAAAAAGAGACCTTTCTTATCCGAACAAAAAGCTTCAAAGAAAAACCCACAGCTAACATAGTTAATTATGGTGACAGATTTAATGCTTTCTCCCTAATATCAGTAATGAGACAAGGATGCTCACTCTTGTCATTCTATTCCACAGGGTACTATAGGTTCTAGCCAGGGCATTAAGGCAAGAAAATGAAATAAAAGACATCTAGTTTAAAAAGGAGGAACTAAAAGCATCTCTATTTACAGATGATATGATCTCACATACAGAAGATCCTAAGGAATGCACTGAAAATTTATTGGAACTGAAAAAGAGTTCAAGCCGGGTACTGTGGTGCACGCCTGTAATTCCAGAACTCTGGGAGGTGGTGCCAAGATGACTGCCTGAGCCCAGGGGTTTGAGACCAGCCTGAGCAATCTGGTGAGACCTCATCTCAAAAAATCAAAATATTATAAATATTTAAATCAAAAAAATTAACTGGGCATGGTGGTGCGCACCTGTGGTTCCAGCTACTTCGAAGACTGAGGCAGAAGGATCACCTGAGCCCAGCAGGTTGAGGCTGCAATGGCAGTGAACATGCCACTGTGCCCCAGTCTGGGTGGCAGAGTGAGAAAGAGTTCAGCAAGACTGGAAGATACAAGATCAACGTAATGAAACATCAATTGTATTTATAACTGTATAGAAATATGAACAAACCAAAAATAATTTAAGAAAACAATTTCATTTACAATAGGATAAAAATAACAAAATACTTTGGAATACATTGAATATAAAAAGCATTGTAGATTTAATAAAATAAATATCAAACTTACACTCTCTAAACTACAAACAGATTAAAGGAGCTCTAAATAAATGGGACAGATATCCCATGTTCATGAATCATAAGACTTAATACTGTTAGAATAGCAATACTCCCCATGTCTATAGATTTAATGCAATCCTCATCAAAATCCCAGCTGGCTTCTTTGCAGAACCTGACAAGTGGATCCTAAAATTCATATGGAAGTGCAAGGGACCCAGGATAGTCAAAACAATCCTGAAAGCAAAGAACAAAGTTAGCAATCTCAAGTTTCTTGATTTCAAAGCTTGATACAAAGCTACAGAAATGAAGGCAGTGTGGTGTGGGCTTAAAAACAGATGCACGGATCAATGAAATAGAATTGAAAAGCCATACGTAAACCCTGGCATTTAGAGTCACTTGATTCTTGACAAGGGCACCACAGCAATTGAATAGGAAAAGAATAATCTTGGTGAGAAATAGAGCCGGGACAACTGAATATCCACATGCAAAAGAATGAAGTGGGAGCCCTACCTCATGCCATATGCAAAGCTCAAAATGAACCAAAGAGCTCAAACGAACACTTAGAAACACAGAAGTACCGCTTCACAACTTGGGATAGGCAATGATTTCTTGGATAAAGCACTAAAAGCACAGCCAACACCAATAACAGAAATAGATACGGTGGACATCATCAGAATTAAAAACTTGTGCTTCAAAAGACATCATCAAGGAAAATAAAATTCACAGAATGGGAGGAAAATCTGGCAAATCATGTGTCTGATGACAAACTTATATGTTGAATCTATAAAGAAAAGTAATCCAATTTAAAAGTGGGCCAAAGATCTGAATAAACATTTCTCCAAAGAAGACATGCAGATGGCCAACATGCACCCGGAAGACACTCAGCACACTCGCCATAAGAAAATGCCGATCGAAACCTCAATCAAATTCCACCTTACATCCGCCAGGAGGGCTGTAGTCAGGAGTCCCTAATGACAAACGCCAGAGAGAAAAGGAAGACACTGGAACCCTCACACACGTTTGGTGAGGATATAAACTAGTACAGTTAATTTGGAAGAGACAGCCTGGCAGCTTCTCAAAAGGTTACACAGAGTTACCATATGACCCAGCAATTCCATTCGTAGGTACACACTCAGAAGAACTGAAAGCCTGTGTCCACACAAATACTTGCACATGGACATTCACAGCAGCATTATTCGTAACAGCCAAAGAGTAGAAACGGCTCGGACACCCATGAGCTGAGGACTGGCAAATTCAAGGCGCTGGCGCCATGCCATGGGCAGCTGCTTAGCAATGCAGAGATGAAGCACTGAGGCATCACTGCCGCCACGTGGAGGAAGTCTGAAACCCCGAGCGAGTCCAGGAAGCCAGGACCAGGGGGCCGCACGTGCAGAGCGGGCAGGTCTGTGGAGACTGAGCGGATCCGAGGCAACCCAGGGCTGGGGGAGGTCAGGGGACGGTGGCTGAGGGCCTGGAGGCTTCTTCTGGGGACGCGTCAATGTCCCAGACGTGTGATGACGGCTGTGCAAATCCCCCATATACTAAAAGCGGCTGCGTGGCACTTTAAACAGTCAAGCTGCGTGTGAATTACATCTCCACCAAGCTGTTAAAAAGGTATTGGGATAGCATACATTTTGCCTCTTAACTTTCCTTTGCTATTTCACAATAAATAAAAATTCAAAAATCAAACTCCTCGGAAGAAAAAAAATTTTCTGAAGTGAAATCTATTCGGAACAATGTGCTCCCAACTCAGAAGGCAAACATCCCAGGCGTGCTGGGCCAGGCAGCTATCACAGGGTGAGCAGTGGCTTGGAAAACGGCCGCTCGGCAGATGTGCCTTCCGGAAGGTGTGGCAGAATTCCCAGTGGACCCCACTAGGGCTGTCCTCACCACTGCTTCACCCAGACAGAGGGGACACTCAGTGGTCATGAGAGTACTAAGGCACTGTCCTAAAACACGTTTGAAGTACGTAATTTTATAAAAAATGCATACGACATCCTCTCCCTTCACTTATGTCCAGTGCGGCCAGTTTCCATGGTGACAGATGTCAAAATCATTTCCTTGATCCAGTGGATTTAAAGTGCCTGCTAACACAACACCATAAAATAAAGCCCTGGTTTTGGGCATGCATCTTGATACCCTGAAGCTACGATGTGCATTTTGTCTCGAATGGGAAAAACCAGACAATGATTTTGAGCAATCTGAAATAAAATTAAGTTTCCTGATTATCTGTGGGCTTGAAAAGTTGCCTGGGAATCAACTGATTTAGTCTCAGATTCTGAAGTCTGGAAGACACTTGTGGAGATTCTCCCACCTGTTAGAACGACAAGAAAAATAAAGTTAATTTTGTAAAACTGTAGTCAGTCTACCCTGTACACTTTTCATGCCTCTGCTTCTGAGAAAGAAATGACGCATTTCCCGCAACACTCAGATGACTTGAGCAACCAAGTCATCAGCAGTCGGCTCTGTGGAAGATCACCCCGGCCTCGGTGCTCCGCTGTCCCAGCACTCAGCTGTGGGGCTGCTTGCAGAAGTGACTATTACCAGAGAAGTAGACATGTCTCGCGTCTAAAGGTGTGGACGAGGGCCCACTGCGTCACTTGGCAGCCTGGCACAAAATTGAAATTAAGCATTTCAGCCGGGCTCGGTGGCTCAGCCTGTAATCCCGCGCCTTTGGGAGGCTGAGGTGAGTGGATTGCCTGAGCCCACGGGTTCAAGACCCGCCTGGGCAGCGAGACCTCATCTCTACAATAAATCAAAAAATCAGCCAGGCATGGTAGCGCATGCCTGTAATTCCGGCTACTCGGAAGGCTTAGGCGGAAGGATCGCCGGAGCCCAGCAGGTCGAGGCTGCGGTGGCCGGGAGCAGCCACTGCACTCCAGGCTGGGCGACGGAGTGAGACTCCAACTCAAAAAAAAAAAAAAATTAAGCATTTCAAGATGGCGATTTCAGAACAATCAAAAAGCCCGGGGCCCTTCTAAGCACAGGGTCCTGGATGCCTGCCAGACTGTGTCTGCAAATCCAGCTCTGGCTGTGTAAGGTGGGACAGTGCACTGCCGCCATCGCATCCTTCACACTGTCAGCCATTCCCACGCACAAGGCCGCGGCCGGTACGGTCATGAAGAAGTGTCGCCACCGTAGAGAAATGAAAAGAATAAACACAATTCGATTCACCTTCCACAAGGCCAGATTTGTTCAGTTTAGAGGAGAGTGACGGTTCAACGTATGTGTCGACTCAGCTAGAACCAAGCGAAATGTTATTCTAGATGTTTCTGCGAAGGTATGTTTTAGATGAAATTAATATTTAAATCAGTAGACTCTGAGTCAAGCAGACTGCTCTCCATGATGTGTGTGGGCCTCGCCCCTTCAGTTGAGGCCTTCACAGAAAACAGACACCTTCCTCAAGGAAGATTTCTGTCAGCAGACTGTTTTCAGCCTCAAGTTGCAGCATGAGCTTCTCCCTGGGTCTGCCTGTCAATCCTGCAAGTTTTGAATTCGGCAGCCTCCACAATCCCCAGTGAAATTCTGTAAGATAAATCTCTCTCAGACAGCCGGACGGACAGTCGGATAGACGAATGTAGATGGATGGGTGGATGGATGTACAGATAGACAGACAGACAGATAGACAGACAGACAGGAATAGTGGATGGATGGACTGATAGATAGAAGGACGGATGGATGGATAAATAGATATGATAGATTAGGTAGATGATAATAGATAGATGGATTGATGGATTGATGGGTAGATGGACAGACAGACAGAAATGGTAGATAAATAGATAGACAGGAAGGAAGCATAGGATGGATATATATGGATAGATTCGATGGATAAATGACAGAAGATAGATGATAGAGGATAGAGAGACAGATAGAGAGATAGAGATAGAGACAGAGAGAAAGAGAGAAAGGATAGATAGATAGACAGGAATGGGAGGTAGGTAGCCACTCTAACAGTTCTGTTTCTCTGCAGAAGTTTAACTAATATAAGGACTGTCCTTTATTCAGGAATTACATGATTATATCCTTTCTAGTTTGTTTTATGTTAAAATGTCATTTTCTATTAAAATAATTCTGGAAATAGCTGCTTCATATAATAAATCTTAGCAACGTATACTCAAATGCTTTTATCTAAAGGTGTATTTCTTTTTTCCCCTTTTCTTCCTGGTGAGGAGGCTAGGCGAAATATCAGGTCAGCATTTTCTTTTAGGGCTTTCATCAAAGCCCAAAGCCACCACCAGGGAGACGTGCAGAAGCTTCCTCTAGGGGCGGAGTCATGAGGTCTGTGGGGTGTAGGTGCAGGTGGTTCCCATGCAGCAAAGGTCAGTGGGAAGGAAGGGTATGTGGCAGCCCTGTCACTCAGTTCCATCCTTCAGGAGTGCCAGGTCTCCACATCCCCGAGTGTCCAGAGCTATGCCATCACCTGCAACCCCCGTACACCAACCCTGAGCTTAAATTCCTAATTCCCTCATTCTGGGGTCTCCTGCAGACACCACGCACTCCGGGCAGGCTTTGGGAGAAGACGTGCCCTCTTCGGGCAGAGAACACTGCACTCTGCCACCATGCTGGGGCTAGCAGCCCTGGCAGCCCCGCCACTGTGTCCCCATACCTCCAATTCCAGCTGTGGCGGGCACAAAGCAGGCAGGCTCGGAGCCGAGGGTGGACACCACCACCTCATTCTCTGTCCCATCAGAGAAACCGCCATCCCGCCCATGTTGTCGCTAAGAAACTCCTAGAAAAGACTCCACTTCAGGAGTCTCCCCGCTCCTCTGCTCAGGCCAAGAGCCCTCCTCCCAGGCCTCTGCAGCAGACAACAGGCTTACTCTCAGGAAGGGTGTCTTGGCCGGGCGTGGTGGCTCAAGCCTATCATCCCAGCAATTTGGGAGGCCGAGGTGAGAGGATGGCCTGAGCCCAGGGGTTTGAGACCAGCCTGTGCAACATGGTGAGACCTCGTCTCTACAATAAATCCAAAAAGAAAAATTGGCCGGGTGTGGTAGTGCACACTTGTAATTCTGGCTCCTTAGAAGGCTGAGGCGGAAGGATTGCCTGAGCCCAGCAGGTCGAGGTGGCGGTGGCCATGAGTGTGCCCCTGCACTCCAGCCTGCAGCCGGGGCAACAGAGTAAGACTCCAACTCAGAAAGAAAAAAAAAAAGAAAGTGTCTTATGGAGAGCCAACTCCATAGCCTAGACGGGCTCTGGGGAACAGGGGCAGCTTGGAGTCGAAAGGGACTTTCCTGCTGCCAAGGGACAGGAGAAACAGTGGCCCCACCACAGCTGCTACGGTCACTTCCCCCAAGGCCCGCCCCCGCCTCTTACCCGACCCTGGCCGTGCTCAGAGCCATCTGCACGCCCAGCAGGTGCCTGGAGCCACGCCCACCTGTCCATGGGCGATCGCTGAGCCACCCACACCACCCTTGGGGTCTCCTCTCCGCCCTGCCACTGCTGCCAAATACCAGAGCCTGACTGATGGATCCAGGTGATTGGCACAAGCCCCAGGTCCCTCCTGCCATCATGCCCGCCCCTCAGTCAAAACCACCTCCATCAGAATCAGTCCACAGGGCATGGAAAATGCTCCACTGTAGTCGGAAGGACGTGCCATCTCTCCAGAAGGCCCTCGCCGTCTTTTTGAGGATTCCTGTGTCCGCAGCCCGGCCTCCGTGGCGCCCTGCATGCTAGTCACTAAGCCACACTGTAGCCACCTCTCGTGCCAACACAGCGGTGCCCCTTGTCGGGCAGCTCTCAGCGAGCCCTGCCACTGGCCCACAAGCACCTGGGCACAGAGCACAAGTACTCCCCGCTGGGAGCTCCTGGACCCCCTGCCCACCGCACCCTCCTGCCCCCACCACCCCGCCTTGCGTATTTCCCTCCTGGACTCCTGACCTGTGACGTTCTCTTCCCTTGTACCCACCGCCCACGACCCTAACGGAGACCCCAATGGAGTGCAGTGTCCCAGAAGCCAGGGCTGGCTGTTCTCAGTTAACATGAGATCTGTGATTGGCAGGTCATCATGTTTCAAAATTTGCTGTTTTCTTCAAGTGCTCAATGAGGGAGGCAGAGAGAAAGGGGCTTGCAAGCCCCGTCACACAGAAAGACCAAAGGGGAGGAGAGGAAACACCAACTCGTTTCAGTCAGCAAAGAACAGATGAGGGAAAAGAGGCTAGACGGGTTGCATCCAGTGGAGAGGGGGCCAGTGCCAAGCTCCGCCATCCAGAACGTGCGGCAGGCACGAGGGAGCCACTGAGAGCTTCACAAGGCAGTGAGTAGACACCCAAGGGGTAACCTGGCAACACCGTGAGGCATATAGCAGTTCCCCATCCATGTGGCGAGTTGCCTGGACCCTTAGACAGGCCCCAGCGCCAATGTTGAGGTTTTTCCTATATGTACATACCTATAGCCAAGTTTAATTCTTACATCAGAAGCAGTAAGAGAGCAGCAACTATAACTGCTAATAAACTAGAACAACTAAGTAAAGTAAGAGCCACTTGAACACAAGCACTGCAATATGGAGCGCCAATTCGATAACACACAGCCACTCAGAGATAGGTCATCAACAGTGTGGACATGCTGGACAAAGGAGAAGCCACGCCCTGGACGGGATGGACGGGGCCAGCGTGGATTTCATCGCCCTGCTCAGAATGGCACACAATCCAAAATGCACAAATTGTTTATTCCTGGAATCTTCCATTTAATATTTTTGTGTCACTGTTGACCACAGGTCACTGAGACTGCAGAAAGCAAAACCATGGCAGGAGAGAATTCTGTATTAGGAGACGGGGAACAAGAGAGGGGAGGGCAGCCAGGCCACTGCTCATCCAGGAAGGGAGATGAGGACCCAAGACAGGGCCCGCCAGACAAACCAGAGGGAACCCCGAAAGAGACGTTCTGCCATGCAGCTGGCAGCCGCCTGGCAGGAGACAGTGGCATCAGGGGAGAGTGGGGTGACTCCCAGACTCCAAGCCAAGCAACTAGGAGATGGTGACTAAAATGCGGAGACTGGGAGAGAGCGCGGGGTGTCAGCTGCTCTCTCCGAAAGTCAGTCTCTGGGAACAAGACGTGGGCAGTGGGCTCGCAAGCCCCTCCTCAGTGTCGGAGCCTCAGAGAACCACCTCATGCACACATGCTGCTGTCTCCATCGTGCCAACCAGGGCAGGGTGAGAACTGGCATTCATTCGGCCCTGGACTCCCAGAAACACCGCTGAATTCAAGGTCGCAGAAGTGGAAATGTCGCTCACTGACTCCCCAGCACCAAAGGGATGGCTGAACCTGTGGGAATGGGATCAGTTCTCAAAGAAAAAAGGAACTGAGGCTTGGAGAGACGTCTGCAGTCAGAGGACGGGAAGGAGGAAAGGAGTGAGGGAGTGACGAGGAGACGAGACAGTGTGGCAGGAGACGTGACACTGAAACCGAGTGAGAACACGCTGAGACAGGGCCACAGGCACAACTACTGCGTGTCCCGGAAAAGGTCAAGAAAGCAAGGCCTAAATGAAAGCCCTGGAGTCCCAGAAGAGGCTGGGAAAGCCGTTTCAGGAGATGTGGGGATGGAGGGTGATCACGGCTTGCAGAGCAGGGGTGGGGAGGAGGAGGTGCCAGCGTGGAAGATGCAGAAGACGGGCCAGGGTGACCCACAGGTGTCTCCTGGCACATCACCTCCCATCAGCCTCAGCAGCAGCCTCGGGATAAACCAGACCCAGGGGAGGGGAAAGATGGCAGTCAAAAAGATGGTCGCCACTGAGTCCCACAGCCGGAGTGATGCTAACACACGCGCACTGTCACTTTCAAGCATGTGGCCGGGGGTAGGAGGGAAGCAGACCGGCGCGCCACACCTACCATGAGGACCTTGTTTGGACTCAAGTCGAGGCTCACGCCGCTTGTTCTTTTGGACCCTCGGGACTTCTGCACATCCTGGCCCGGCTCTACCTCATGCGGCGAAGAGAGCTGCCACCTACCAGCAAAGGTGGGTGTCCTGTCGCCGGGCCGAGAGGCCTCACCCGCGGCGACACTGTCCGCCTCTGCACTGGCCGGGTCCTCGGGGAGATGGGACAGCGATGGTGAGCTACATCCTCCTGCATCCCCAGAGCTCTTCGATGGCATCAGGAACTCGGCCGGGGACGCACTGCCACGGGACAGGTTGTATTGCAAGAAATGTCTCAAACGTGTGTTCCTGGGAAAACTGTTTCTCGCGATGGCACTCCGCAGCTGGGACTCCTCCGCAATCACGTACACGCGGCAGCGGCCCCGGGTCACCGCGGTATAGACGTGCTGCCAGTGCTGGCGGCCCGCCCTCCCCACCACATAGACGACGGTGTTCTCCTCGGAGCCCTGAGAGACAATAACACGGTGTGAGCACTTGACGCTGAGGAACGGGTTCGGATGCTTACACAGGAGGAAGAGACAGGCCCTCGGGGACTCTCGAGCAAGGGCTGGCCGGAGGGTCCTGCAGGCCACCTCTGGGCTCCATTCAATGCACTTTGCCCAAGAGCTCACTTCTGCTCAACACAGCGATGTCCAGCTCCTGCAGGCCCTCTGCTGGCTTGTGGATGCCCAGCAGAAATGCAAAAGACTGCAAGCAGCACTAAATCCTCTCTAATCATAGACTCAGAAATGATGGCACGGGCTTCAGGTCACATGTGCCACCCACGGGCACTTGGCCTGGCAAAAACAGATGCCTAAGAAGCCAATTATGAGGAGAACCTCTTCAGTGAAGGGTACTGGGAAAACTGGCTGACCACATGCAGAAGACTGAAACAGGACCCCTACCTGTCATCAGACACAAAAATCGACTCTGAATGGATCAAAGACCTAAACGTAAAACCTCAAACTATAAGAATCCTAGAAGAAAATGTAGGCAATACCCTTATAGAAATTGGAATAGGCAACCAATTCCTGATCAACTCTCCAAAAGCAAATGCCATAAAAGATAAGACAGACAAGTGGGGACCTCATCAAACTGAAAACTTCTGCAAAGCAAAAGAAACTATCGGAGAGCTTGGGGACACAGTCCACGAAATGGGGGAAAAAAATTGCCAACTGTGAATCTGACAAAGGCCTAACATCCAGGATCTATAAGGAACTCAAATGTGCTGAAAGGAAAAAACTAAGCAACCCTATTAAAAAATGGGCAAAAAACATGAATAGATACTTCTCAGAAGACATAAGAGCAGTCAACAGATACATGAAAAATGCTCAGCCTCACTAGTCACCAAAGAAATGCAAATGAAAACTACACTGAGATAACACAGAACTCAAGTCAGGATGGCTATCATCAATAACTCAAAAAACAACAGATGCTGGAGAGGATGTGGCGAAAAGGGAACACTTCTACACTGTTGGTGGGAGTGTAACCTAGTACAGCCTCTGTGGAAATCAGTGTGGCGATTCCTAAAAGCTCTAAATGTCGATCTCCCACATGACCCCGCAATCCCCCATTGGGAATATACCCAGAAGAACTCAAATCACTCTATCAAAAAGATACCTGCACACTCCTATGTTTATTGCAGCCTTGTTCACAATAGCAAGAACATGGAACCAACCATGCTGTCCATCAAAAGAGGACTGGATAAAAAGAAAATGTGGTACATATACCCAATGGAATATTATGCAGCCATAAAGAAGAACAAAATCATGAACTTCACAGCAACCTGGATGGACTTAGAGTCTATAATACTG